TTTTTTTTTTCGCCACTGAAGCAACTGTCAGTTTCTCCATTCTTCTCTATTTTAGGCCTATCTTGCCCACATGATTCGTTGTAGCCGGACACGTATACCACTATGTCATAATATTTTCACTGAGATTCTTAAGTCTTTCTCTTCACTGTCTTCTCTCCTCTAAAATGATTTCAATATTCGTGGAAGTGAATATCTACTTTATAGCGGGCCAATAGCTTTTTTTTGAATTATTTTTATTTTTCATGAATTTAAAATTTTGAAACGAGAAACTCTCGTAAGAACAGCAATAACCTCTTGTTGTGCGAGTCGGCAGTTCAAAAATTTCAGGTAACTATCCGCTAGTGCGAGTAATACCACAGTTGTATCCGGAAAATCGTGAACCATTCCATGCTCATTTCCCGCAAATCCTCAAGCTACTACAGAATGAACAAACTGATCAATCAGAAAGTCTTTCCATTCTACAGTTTGCATCTATGGTTGCTAATGCTAATCCCGATGTAAGTTACGTTATGAACGAAGACACATTAGAAAACATACGCTGCAGATCCATTTGCTCCCCGCATCGCTTTGAATTGATTGTCTGCTGGTGATGATAAATTGTTGTGAAAAATTACAGCTAATTCTTGGTTATCTGGACGATCTCGATATTTTTCTCTTATATCCATCAACTCGTACTCCCATACTTCACATTTTTCTATCACTTATTTCGTTGAATCGAACATTCGCTTTGGTATCACGATTGGATGCGCTACGAAGAGCTGCCCAGTTAGTCCGCATTTTTCACAGTTTTTTCTTCTACATTTTGTGAAGTCATTTCGTGCTACTTTCAAGTACGTCGCTCTACTCATCGGATTTTACTTTCTTCGTTTATTATCTTTTTCTCTCTTGATATATATATATAGTGAAAAATTACTTTCTTCGTTTATTGTATAAAGAGAGAGATAGATAATAAACGAAGAAAGTAAAATCCGGTGAACAAAGCGACTTGCTTGAGAGTAGCAAGAAAAAGAGAGAGATAATAAAAGAAAGTAAAATCCGATAGGCAGAGCATCGTTGCCCGCCTTTCGGCAACTGTTGAACGTCGCACATTAGTGAGTGGTACTCGCAAGAATGTAAATGATCACTCGGTCCATCCCCGAACAGGTGGCGCATAAATTGGATGAGCGGGGGGTACTAAATGAAGATGTGCACCCCAGGTGTGCTCAAGATATGCAGTCGCAGCAACATCGCTAACACGGGATACCTAGCTGCTGCTTTAGCGGTCTTATTATTTTTCATACTCTTTATATTATTCATAAACACTGTGCTCCATTGATAGCAATCTGTTAAATGAAAATTTTAAAGTTTTGATGTTTTCTATTTTTGAAGAAAAAAAGCAGAAATTTATCATAGCTGCTCGCTAAAAAGAGTGACAGCTGCTCCAGCTCCTCCCTCCTCTTCCGTTGACTTTTTCCTCTTTGTGCCCAACACTTAAGATCTCTTTTAACACATTTTGTTTATACTTCACGCGTTGCTCGCGGGGATCGCCTGGACAACTAATGTTCTGGAGCCCTGTATGCTAATGAGAAGCAGCTTGGAGGAAAGACTACGTAGGCTCTCCTGCCGTGGACTAATTGCTCCAAACCGTTGTATTTATATCACACTTATAGTTTCTTCGTAGAATTCCACTGTTTTGTGAGTACCACTCGTTGATTGTTGGCTAGTGATCAGCGTTCCTTCGCCCATGGAAGTTTATTTTTTTTCGAGGGCAAACCCAGCGTACACTGTACTTTTTGTCGTCACTAATATATTTCCCTCTTTTTAATTATTACTTTGTATCTCTTTTATCTCTCTCTCTCTCTCT